ATAATTAAATAATAAAACCTGCAGAAGGAACATGTATATTCAACTATTAACTTTGGAAGTGACAAACCTCAGTAGGATTAATGTAAGTGAAAACATTGCCTGCAGCCCATAGAAACTGTACATATGGCTATGCACCTGTATTTTTTCAGTTCAAAGATGACAGGTACTCCCTATATGTCAGTTAATGTCACTTTCTGATATAGATGACATCTTGTCTTTAAATAACAAGAAATTTATTGCCCACCTCCATCATCTATACCCATCAGAATTGGAAATCAAAGACAAGACAGACTCTTCTACATCAGTCACTTATCTACATCTTTTCCTGCAATGAATCAGACAAAGATAATTTTCTCACCAAGCTGCATGATAAGCATGATGATTTCAATTTCCCTATTGTGAATTTTCCATTTTTGGACAGCAACATTCCTACAGTGATATCCTCAACCTATGGTGTTTACATATTGCGGTGATTCAGTATTCAAGGGCCTGATCCCATTATCACTATTTTCATGCAAGAAATTGTCAACTGATGAACATACTTGTAACACAGGGTTTGAAGAGATGCAGGATGAAGAAAAGTATGAACAAGTTTTATGGTCGTCATGGTGATCTCACTGAGAAATATTCTATTTCTTTGTGTGATATGAATCTGAACATGATTGATGCTTGTTTGTTTGCCTAATGGTTCCATTGTTTTATACTTTGTCCTCATTAGAGAACATGACATTACCTACTTGGATAGACCAAGATTTCCATGGTGGGTGCTGTCAATGAAGCAGAAGACACTTACTCATCCAGAACACCTGGTCTTAATCTCCTTCCCCTTTCTCAGGAGTTGCCATGTTAATTTTTCTTTCATTAATATTTTGTGCTAGTTTTATTGAATTAGAGTTTGGATTTGAATGTATACTGGTAAATATACACATATCAGGGATGTATCACACAATTCTGCTAATTATATATATATATATATATAATCAGCAAATTATAACATGTGTACAAGAGCAAGAGATCTAGATTTAGTTCACAACATTATCAAATGTTACATCATTATTTAGCCAGACACCGTTGAGCAATGTTAACTCATGATCATTAGCGATTCAAACTTATGGGATAAACCAAGTATAGGTACAACTCAGTTGAATAAGCACATACCTGTTTACAGAAACACACCCCAGTAATTCTATAGGTCTATGTACCAAATACTGTATTATACCAAATGAATCCACCAGTATGTAGGAGTGATTCATCTTGTGTATAACACTTTGCTTGTTATAATCATACAGCCTTTCCCTAACATTTCATACATCTTCAAACTTAATTGATATTCATGTATGTACATGAAGCAGATTGTAGCATTATATAACTGAAAATATCATGGATAATGAAGACTTAATCATGATTTTGAACTTAGATATAAACCCCAGGCAGCGTTCAAAACCCTTTAGTAGCCTCTGTGATTTGAACATATTTTACTAAAATATATACACTCCTAAATTCTATATACATGTACTTAATTTCTAGGCCAAATTGAGGCCATGTAAAAGGTTTTTTTTATCAATCTTCAAGATATATACAATACAATAAATGTTTAAATATCAATTCCCAACATCACACCACAGGTACAGGTAACTACATGTGTTGCAGGTGGAAGATATATAAAACTTTAGTTTAAACCATTTCATGAACCTGATAATTGTGTCTAGGTTTGACAGTATGGAATGTGTACTTAAACTATGCCACATGCGTGACTGCTAACAATTGGGAAAATACCCAAATACCTCATTCAATGACAGACAGGAATTTCTACAAAATAGGAATGGACAAATGCCAGTTATATCTAGTTAAAACGTTTTGTTAAATAATACTGTAAGGCTATGCTATTTGAATTTGTATGACATATGACTTGGCAAACTTATCAGTTACAATCAACTATTGAGTTGGAAATTTTTTTATTATCAATATTTCTTTAAGTTTGAAATATCAATTTTTTTTCTTTCAAAAAACGCATTTTATTTTCAGAGAAAATATTGTTGCAGTTATATAAAATTTACAGTAACATGCTACTTGATCTCATGATGATGTTAACCGAAGCTAATTGGAGCTAACTGAAAAATTCTGATAAAAAGTTCTAGGAACAGTAAAAATCTAGGACAACAGTGACATAGTTCGATATACTGATACAGACCATGAATCAGACTCCAGATCAATGGAAAATATGTACTGTATGCACCTTCTCACTGTATATAATGTACTTGTATCTTGCAAGTACATTGAAATATGGCACTATATGTTTAGCAAATTCTTTTTAAAAAAATTCAATATATGATATACTTATTACCTGACTAAGCATTGAAATATTTTCTATATATATATAAAAACGTTCTGACCATAGGTAGATGGAATGTTAGTAGTTTAAAATTTCCATTCATTACTAGGGAATAAAAAAAAATTGATTTTTTTCTCTTCCCATTGATCTGCTGGAAGTGTGCCAGCTTCAACATACAATTTTAATTACTTTGGCCTATTGAGAAAGTATGAGAGTATTTGCTCTGACAGAAAACTATAAAGATATATACCTGGTATATATAAAGGTATAAATTCATATGTGTACAGAAATTTATAGTAAACAATATGTGTACCTCTTGATCAGTGTCCGCAAAATGCCAGTAGGCTTGTAACTGCCTGATGATTCAAAGAAGAAACTGCTCAGGGAAAGTATTTCAACAATCTGGTACTTGTGTGTAATCACGTGAGAAAGATGTAGCACAAACAGATTATAATTGTCTTTTAGTCTGTTACCATTGTTGAATCCATTTCACATGGAATGTAAAAGCAACTGTTACCTCCCCAAATTGTGCACACTTGTGTAAAATATACAGGTGGTTTTTGGGGAGGAAATCTAAGAAAAAGAGTAAATTTTGAATTGACACTTAGTTTGGTCATACCTATAATTGAGATGAAACTGAAACATGTTAAACATAGAGAGGTTTTCATTCTTTGTGTTTTTCATCATTCTGACAGATTCTTATACAAATCGTCTTTCACATGTACCAGTATACATTATATATGGACCCAAGTCTGTGAGTGAGCTTCCATGAATAGGCCTTGTTAGTGTGTAGCACACATCACTATTTTGAAAAAAAATAAGGAGCAAAATACATACCTATCTAAGATATATATGTATACTACTACACTGAACTGGTAGAAAATGAAAAACCATGAAATCATTGGGTTTTTTTTTTAAAGATTCAGATAGGTGTCTAATGAGATCACATTTGAGAAACTAAAGGTTTCCCCCTATCAGTTCTTACAGCTTAGATCTGTATATCTAAGGAATGAAATGCCATTGTGAAAAATTAGAAATTGGTAATAAGTCTATAACTAATCTGCTGGACTATGAACACTAAAGTTTTGTTAAAATTATAATGAATTTATCAGTATTTCATCTTGACATGCAATTCACAAATCTAAATTCCACACTAGGAAAATAATGGATTTTCTTGTTCTGTCTAATGTTATTGTATATCAGAAAAATCTGCAAGGTAATTCACATTCACCACAAGTGTGGGTATGTAGACATTCCCGATTATGTATGTATAATTACCTTGGTTTAACGTGGGTGTAAAAAATATGTGAACCTAATCTGAAATATTAAGTACATGAGGTGATTATCAAACCTTTGAACAATGTTTCAAAATCTCGAAATGCAAGATATTCAAAATTTTGGATCACAGTCAAAATAAGATATAACTACAGTCCATATCCGTAAACTGTAATCACGTGATCTTAATGGGTTTAAAAAGATTAAAAAAAAATTATAAGGAATGTCGGGTCACAACCCACTACAAAATTCTATCCTGTTATATAGCAAGATAGGTATTCACAATACCTGGACAGAAAAACGATTTACATTATACTCAGCCATAGGCACCATATAGGCCACACACAGAGTGACTGACGACTGGCACTTGGTGACCTATTTAAGACTGTTGCTACCTAGATCAATAATGGTTAAAATAATAGCACCAACATACATTATTAACCAACATGACCTATCTTTTGAAAAATCTTATCCTAGAACAGACTACATATCGGTTCTATGTACTAATGAGCATGAATTGTGGCTACATTTTTGTGGTTGATCCAAATTCCAGCATGCCATATATAAAGGCTAATATGATTTCTTTTCACAATCTTGGATCTTTTATTAAAATCAATCTTAAACAAAATTGCTTAGAGACTGAAACACTGGTGCTAGAGTATATATATTTGTAAAAATAAAAACGTAACAACCTTATTTACTAATGAGAAACACAACATTAATTTTGTCAGGCTTACCTAATGTGATCTTTAATATTCTTGTATAGCCATGTATTATAGATTTATATTATAAATATTTACTCAATTCCATGCATGTGCAGCTAGAGTGATTGATCTCTCTTATATCTTTGGTATAGTTTTACAAATTTTTATTTGTAGAATATTTTATTAGTTATTTGGACCCTGGTAAACTATAAACATGAATTGATCATGATAAATAAGTATGTTCATTACTAATTAAATTTCATTACCCATACAAACTGCAAGATTTTTTTAAAAAATGTTCTCGTTTACAAACCCTATGCACTGGCAAAGTTGATATCTTGCACAAAATGTTAAGATTTTCAGTGACAAACGAACTTATCACACACAACGCTCAAGTAACCAAACACTTATATAAAACATGAAAGAATTTGAGTGAACAGGATATTTGGTGAAATATTGCATGTACATACTCTCGTCACATGCATGTGTACCTGTCTACATCACTATGTTATGAGACATCAGTCAAGCTAGCTAGGAAAGAATCTGTTGACATTAAAGATCAGTCATGTGGAAAGTTTATATCCTCTGACGCCCTATCGTGTAGGCCACGATAGGGGAAGCTTTGTTTACATCTGGTTTCTTTGTTGGAGACCCCCCTTTACATTGCGCTCACCATTCTGAAAACTTACCCATCCTCCACTGGTAGTAACCCATTGGTCCAGATTATTTTCTACATATGTTGATACCCATTCCACGATTGAATCAACTAAATGTGGCATTCCTTTATTAACGCAGTCTACAGCTATTGCACCTCCGAATCCGAATAAAGCTACGATTCGACCCCAATTTACACCGTCAATAAACAGCTCCTGAACCACCTGATGGAAGGTCGGATACGCTGTATTCGGTGTAATATGTAACTGGTTCACCATATCGTCAAATTGTGTCCTAAACCGCTCTTCAAATTCATCACCAAGAGCTCTTAAAGTTCTGTGAACGTTATTTGTTTGAGCTTCCAAAGGTGGACAGTTATCCCACGTATAACCATGTCGGCTCAGCCGGTAATTTATGAAATCGACCACCAGGTACCTATAACTCGTCGGGTTCATCTCAATATTGTTGTTTAAACTCATATCTCGAACATCGCAAGGCACAACAACATAATGACATAGTACTTCCCTGGTTGTGGGCCTAAAGCTTTCTACTTATTCCGAGAAATACGCCAATCATTCTCACTCTGACCTCCTCTTCCTCCTGCTGGTCGATTTCTTCAGCAAGGCCGCTTGACACAAACAAAATACGTCATAAGATCGATAGGGCTGCTCAGTTTTCATTTACGTACCATATTTCACGAAAGTTCCCAGTATTTCAATACTGAATAAGATATAATTATTATCTAGAACAGATAGTAACACAATTTTTAAACGATTCAAACTTTATTAAACTGTCATTTTCAAGTGAATGAATGAAACAGCTCAAGGTCAACGTTCAAGGGTCATACTACGTAGTAAAGGTCAGCATAAATACTACGCATGGCTACGATTCATAAACGGTTAGGAGTAAGACGTGCTTTATGCTCAAGTTATCGGTACATTTATATATAAAAAAAACGCACAAATCGCGTGGTGATACAGGGACTTTGAAAACGACAAGTTTAAATTTGACAACTCGTTTTTAAATAAATAAAAACGGGGGAAATGAATAGTAAGGTATCGCTGAAGTATTACGGATCATGACCATAATCATTTAAATTATTACGCACCACTCTCTGACTTACTAAGATGTATAGGGTATATACATTATAAAGTGACACTTAAAAGATTATACAATAAACTAGAATACATGTTAGAGAGCAGACACCATAAACTTGTATCATAAATTTGCCAGTAGCTCGTGCTGAGTATATCAACAGATCTCTAGGATTTGTGTTGGGTGTATTTTTTCTTGACTTTTTTGAAAAGTCACGTTTTCAAATGATTGCCTTATCTCTGATTAATGTTGATGATTAATTACATTTTTTTATCTGTCTGACTGTTCGTCTGCCCCAAAGGCCCCATGAAATTAACTTACTTACACAAGTTTTTCAAATCAAATGAACGTCACCATAATAAGTCCAAATATGGACGTTTTTGAAATAGTGTCATATTCATGTGAAGAAGGGATTGCGTAAAACTATTATTAAAACTGCTATTAGGCAAACCCCAAATATTTCATAATGAGGGCAAAAGCACTCTCAACATACCCATGGGAGCGGCTTGTGAACCCAGTACATATATGTATTGTAATATCGGCCACGGTGTGTGGGCGGGTTGCTAATAGTTAGGGACTTGGGTACTATATACAAGTACATCATGATTTAAAATAGGTTTATTGATAAAAGTTATGGACCGATTGACTGATTAGATAAATAGAAAGTTATGAACTTTGGCGGTGTTCATTACGTATAGGCTGTGTGGTGTATAGAGAGATACGATGAATACCGTATGACGAAATATATATATATATATATAAAGGTTGAATTCAGGGGGGTTAACATGATGTTGAACTAATATGTCCCCGGTTGAAATATGTGAGTTGTCAAGTGAAAGCAACAAAGGGTATAATATAAAGTATTATGTCACGTATTGTTTCTCTGTTATTTGAAATCCTGAGCTTTAGGCATAGATAACTCTTCTGATTCACGATAGATAATTAAATAAATATGTTACTGTACATTAATAAAACATATATAGGAATCTTGCAGTGATCGAATTATACTATACAACTTAGTTTCCAGTTAGATTACAGAATGCACGTGTGCGAAAGTGTACTAGAGTTTGAAAATGAGATGGAATCAGAAGATTCAGCGATCTATAATTATAGTGACTTATTGAGATGGAAGAGGGAGGACAACTCTTGTTAAATTCTGAGCAGATTAAAACGATTCGATTCACTAAAAGCATAATTCTTAGAATGATTTCAACTGCGGAAGGTCTTCATCGAGTGTAATTAGGCGTCAAATCTGAAATATTGTAGGCTTATCTGTCTGTTATGACGTCAGAATAAAATGACGTCACAATCAACCAATCGTAACATCTCGGGGATTGCTGACATTTTTCGGAAATGTGTTCCGAAGATTGTCTCAAGATGTTGCGAAACATCCATTTGAAATGAAATTGAATTGTGTTATAGAACACACGACCCAAGCCTTCAATCACCCAACGTTATTTGGTTTGCTCATAAATATTCGTCCTGGTCGTACATTTGTCTTAAATCATCGAAGATTCAGTTTCCATGTCAAAAAACTAGAATTACACTATATCTGTAACATAATGGTGAGGATTCGAAGATAATCTACTACCCACTTGCCTTCAAAACAATAAATAAATGCTGCCATATTTGTATGTGCAAACCAAGCTATACAAGTCGGACACTCTGAAACACTCAGAATCTTCTAAGGGAGAATAATGCACATTAGTGATTTCATATCGTCTCTTCTTGCATATCTTAATTTAAAATACCTACCCATCCGCCATGGCTTTCAATCCAATTTTCAAGCTGATTATCAAGATATTGTGACGTCCAGTCAATTAATGACGTCACAAGGTCCATCATGTGTTGTTGACAGAATTTTTTCGCCAGTGTACCACTAAAAGCGAAGAGGGCAACAATCCTGCCCCAGTTTACACCATCGTGGAATAATTCCCCGACAGCAGTGTTAAAAGTAGGATATGCATTATATTGACTCATATTGAGTTGACTTCCTAGGTCTGAAAATTGAACCGCATATCTCTCCTCGAATTCGTCTCCCATTTTACGTAAAGCCATATGTATTTCCGTTGGCTGGCCCAAAAGAGGAGGACAATTGGGCCAAATAATTCCCTGCTTCGTTAGCCGGTAGTTTATATAATCAACGACAAGATAGCGAGAACCTACTGGATCCATCTTACGTTTAGTTTTCCACCTAATTTTCACGACTTCCATAATGTAGATTTGTAGTGATAACACATCCAGGTACGAAACAGTTGTTTATCAAATGAAACATGTTTTTAACACCAATCGATTTAGTCGGGATCAAGAAAAAGTAAACACCTTGTTTACTGGTTGTATAAACCAACCTCGAAAGGACGGGTGTTTCCGTGAATCCTCTTACCGGTGTGTGTATACGAATATAAATGTGTTATGTGTATAACGTATGTAGGCTTTATCAGCAAGCCAGACCCTAAAAATCTAAAAATAGTTGGAGAACATGTGACATCATTTATTTAGATGATAAAGTGTATGTACCTGTTGTAGAGCTTCACACAGGCAGTTACAATCAGTCGAAAGGAGTGTTCCATGTATTAGGCTGGTCAGTCGAAAGGGGGTATGTGATTGATTCATCGACTGAAGAGGTTTCACGGACTGGCTGTATTTATACAACTTGCGGAGTGACCGACTTAGAAAGTTATATGTAAGGATGGTAGCTGAAGAAAATTGGAAGTACCGGTAGTAGTTATCTGTATAGCGTGTTAAAAGCAGAAATTGTCATCATATAGAGGTATAGTTAAGAATGGTCGGCATAGAGAGCCAGTTGTAGGAGTGGTCGTTATAGAGAGTTAATAATCAGAACAACCGGTAAAGAAAGTTACATGTTGAAGGTATGAAGAGCCACATGTAGGAGTGGTCTGTATAGAAAATTACACGTAAAACTGGCCGGTATAGAGAACTACATACAGGAGTGTTAGGTATGGAGAGTAAAGTGTAGGAGACGTCAGTGTAGAGAATCTTGGAATGGTCGATATAGAGAACTACATACAGGAGTGGTCGGTATCGAGAGTAAAGTGTAGGAGACGTCAGTGTAGAGAATGTTGGAGTGGTCGGTATAGAGAGTTACACATAAAACTGGCCGGTATAGAGAACTACATACAGGAGTGGTCGGTATGGAGAGTAAAGTGTAGGAGACGTTAGTGTAGAGAATGTTGAAGTGGTCGGTGAAGAAGTTGTAGGTAAAGAGTGCAACAAGTAAGAATGGTCGGTACGGCGAGTTACCTGTAGGAGTGATCAGTATATATAGTTACTAGTAGAATTGGTCGGTAAAGAGATTTACATAAAGGAGTGGACCGTATAGAGAGTTACATGTAGGAGTGGTCCGTGTAGAGAGTTACATGTAGGAGTGGTCCGTGTAGAGAGTAACATGTAGGAGTGGTCCGTGTAGAGAGTTACATGTAAAAGCGGTCGGTACAGAGAGTTACGCAGAAGTGGTTGGTAAAGAGAGTTACATGTGGGAGTGGTCCGTGTAGAGAGTAACATGTAAAAGCGGTCGGTACAGAGAGTTACGCAGAAGTGGTTGGTAAAGAGAGTTTTACATGTAGGAGTGGTCCGTGTAGAGAGATTTACATAAAGGAGTGGTCCGTGTAGAGAGTAACATGTAAAAGCGGTCGGTACAGAGAGTTACGCAGAAGTGGTTGGTAAAGAGAGTTTATCATGTAGGAGTGGTTGGTGAACAGAGTTACATGTAGGAGTGGTCCGTGTAGAGAGATTTACATAAAGGAGTGGTCCGTGTAGAGAGTTACATGTAAGAATGGTCCGTATAGAGAGTTACATGTAGGAGTGGTCCGTATAGAGAGTTACATGTAGGAGTGGTCCGTGTAGAGAGTTACATGTAGGAGTGGTCCGTGTAGAGAGTTACATGTAGGAGTGGTCCGTGTAGAGAGTTACATGTAGGAGTGGTCCGTGTAGAGAGTTACATGTTGGAGTTTTCGGCATGGAAAGTTACGTGTAGTGTAGAGAGTAACATGTAAAAGCGGTCGGTACAGAGAACTTCGTAGAAGTGGTTGGTAAAGAGAGTTTTACATGTAGGAGTGGTCAGTATAGAGAGTTACGTGTAGGAGAGATCAGTATAGTGAGTTACATGTAGGAGTGGTCAGTATAGTGAGTTACATGTAGGAGTGGTCAGTATAGAGAGTTACATGTAGTGGTAGTCCTTGTAGTGAGTTACATGTAGGAGTGGTCAGTATAGAGAGTTATAATTATGTAAGACTGGTAAGTATAAATTCAAGAGCGTTATGCTGGTGTGACCGACTCGGTAAAATTCTTCTCACACTGAGTTTAAGATAACGGGCCAATTGATTAAGTTTAAATACTGAATGAAAGTTGAGTAAATAAGCTGATTTGATTTTGTTTAGTCATGTGTGAAACATTAAAAAAACACAACAAAAGAAAGTTATTCACCTGAAATTGATATGTTACCGTGACGTAGGCGCGAGAACACATTACAGTGTTCAATGATTTTAACGAGTCAACGTCACATCAATGAAACACGTGCTATTGAAAATAAATAAATATATATATGTAGGATAAGAACTCAATGACTTCGACAAAACAAAGTGAAACGTGAGAAAGTTCGTCGATTAGGTCTTAAGTCTTATGTAACTCACGTGTTTGCTTTTTTATCACGTGTTTGATTCACGTACTGCCTTTAAAAATCACCAATGTCGTTTTCGGCAAGAATCTTAAACAAAATATTACGATGTATGAATTCAGTTCGCACTCTGCCTGCAACACCATTTTTGTCATTTTTATACTAATATCTAAAAAGATTCAGTCATCCTGATGAGGCATTTTAACCCTATGATAGGGCAACGGGCCGATGGGGGTTGTTAAACTGGTACATTTACCCTATTAATTTCTTCACTATTGTAATACTACAAAATACGATATAAATACCAGCAGAGAGATAATACCAGAACAACAATAACTAAATGAATAAATATTAAGTTCATTAGCCAAACAACATTTACTTGTGATACTATACATAGATATTCTAAAATGCACCTCTCTTTGCGTTTGCGTGCTGCTTTTCTGCAACTGATGCTGTGTTAATTACAGGGGGGATAACTCTAATATCGTGGTGCCAAACACGCACATTTCAGAAAAAGAACATAATTCTTAATGATTTTATATTCAAACGTGGACATCCGAATGCACAACATAAATCGGCAAACAAACGTAAAATTAACAATGGTTTAATCAAATATTTGCCAATGAATAGTCTTTTGGGATATATTTGAAAATAAAGACAATACGTAATGTAATGCTTTAACTTATACGATGTGAATTGAAGTTAAGGTTTAGTGAAAAACAGTTAAGTTATTCACGGGTTCAATAGCGTCACTGTAACAGCTTGTGATAATGACTGTCTAACTGAATCCGTGATGATAAGTACCCTTTTGTGGCGTGACAGTGATGTATTTACTTATAGAGTCCCTCATTAATCCTCCGTATGACTCACTCCCTCGTGCTTAATGTCACGTTACTGCTGACTTCAAATATCTTATGGATTTTAATCAAACCGTTGCGACGGACGATGTGCATTTTTGCATGTTACAGATGGCACACAGAAGATCCCTCTTGTATCCTACCCATTGAGAAATTAAAAAAAAAAACCCAATATGTCAACACAGCCCTAACTCAAATTCAATAAAGCTAGGAAAGACATGAACAAGAGAAATATTTACACGAGAGAATCATGAAAAAAGTATAAGTAGAGTAAAACCAGGTGTTCCAGATGAGTGATCGTCTTCTGCTTCATCGACGACAACCGCCATGTAATTCTTAAAACACAAGTAGAAAAAAAGTTCAGCATATTTTTTTTTCACTCGTCTTTTCCCGTTTCGTATTTAGCGAGAACATCGTAAATCGCAAAAAATAAAACCGTCATAGATGTATCAAAAAAGGAACTCGTTCTTTTTACATATGAGGCGACCAATGTGGAATCACTAGAATAACAATTGCCCCCTTCTACATGCTAATAATATAGTGAAGAGGTCATACTATTGTCGTCTTCGTTCTATTTCAGACAGTGTCTCTGTGGGTAATATGACGATTACTCTAAATATGTTTTGGTATCCAAGACCAGCTGAGGTATATAATTTTGATTGCATTTCAGAGTAAGCAGCGAAAATTCGCCCCCTGTAAAGATAAATTAATAAATAACAGCATTGCTTTTGCAGACTATTTCTGTCAGTGTCGTCATGTCTATTATCTCGCACTTGATATCAGAAAAAAATTAACATCTTAAAAGTTCGGAAGAAATGTGATATCATCACAAATGAACGACATATGCAAATCCCGTAATGTATATACGCAGTGTGGATAGACACAAGATCCTGCTCAGCTATTATTTTACGACATTAAATCTGTCACCGCATTTATTGCTTTTTAAACAAAGATATACTAACTGGGCTTTAAACCCAAAGATAATAAATATTCACCAAGGTGGTGACAATATCCGGGGAAGGATGTTGTCATGTAAAACATAAACCCAAGTTTATAATTAGAAGCTGACACAGTGTGTATTCTTTTCCTTTTATAATTCATCAAAATTATTTTGTTAATTCTCTAAAATAGCTGATTTTATCTAGTTTCAAACTTTATCGACGAAATATATTTTGAACAGACATTGAGTGCACTGTACGATTTACATGTACACATAAACGATTTACTTAATGAGACGTAGTAATTTAGACTAGTATTTGAGATAAGTGCTCTCACCACTGATATAAAAGCCTTTTAATTTGTGTCTAACAGGTGAGAATTACAGGTAGTTATTGGTCGCCTAAGGTAACAATAAGTCAGCGGTATTTAATAGGCATATATGTGTTTACGTCAGCAGGTATAGTGTCTTTACCTATATATATATATAAACATATATTTATATGTAATCCTGGTAAAATACTAGCCGCAATATACCACTCGGCTAGAGAGAACTTCTCTTTAGCTCGATCATATATTTATATATTTATCTACCAAGAAAGATAAACTCGTTTTGATCTTGATAAAAGTTCGAAGCACTTAACATTACCTCCGACAGCAGGGACCTGGGAATTCGTTACAGCTTGATAAGTGTACAGCATTTAGAGCTAACCCAAAGAGTCAATTCGGCAAAAAAGTACACTTGAGGTTGAGATAGGGGGATCTCAACCCACGGGAAAGATTATTATGTAGTCAAACATTATGGTTGTCGATTGTTTGCAACTCGGTTATCTTTCTCTGAGGATTAAAATCCTTAACTCAATCATACATTATAACGTCACCAAAGAGATATAGAGCAAAAATATCACCAATTCAAATAAGCGTCAGTCAAATGTTGATTGCATGAATGTTAGTCAAAGTATCTGGCTTTATGTGATAAACAGAATCTTTCATTTTCCCCCACATTTTTTCATTTAACCTTTTCTGAAATGAAAAAAAAATCTCCAAGACTCGTTCATACCTCTAGAATGAATGGCAGTTATGTTAGACTGGCTGTGTATGTGACTGGCATTGTTACACTGAGAACGGGTGGTAAGCTTAATTTACTATTTAGGTAATTCTAATTCAAGAAAATAACACAAACTTTCAGTCAACATAATTGTTGGTGAATAATATTGCGTAATTCTAATAATACCGGGTAAGAACGAATACTTGCAATTGTTTTTAACATCCTGTACACCACGGAATATAACAAAACTTTAGTCTGTCTGAACATTTTCTCACCTGTATTGAATTACCTATGAAAATCACCTCGCCCCCCAATGACCTATATTCACAGTCACCATACCATCAAAGCCTAAATAACGATACAATACAAAATGGTTTGATAGAATGAATGATCAATTTCAACCGAATTGGACTGAAATCGACATCAGCTAATCATTCCAATGTATTATAATTTTACATATTACGACTAGCAATTGAAAATACTTCTCGCAAATATGATCATTATCGCCAAATTTTGTACTTATTCAATGTTAAAAACAAAATCCTTTAAAACATCCCAAAATTTAAAGCTGACAGACACTTAACGACACACTCATGTGTTTGTCTCTCAAATGTTTTGTGTGTTAGCGTAAGTATTTTGTTTACTTTCAGCGTAATTTTACCTGGAGGTCACTGGCACTGTGTTTAAGTGGTTATAATACCTGTGTCGAGACATTTGTATAACCTGGTTCTATTTATAGAGGTGAGGTAACGAGAGACTTAAACGTAAGATATAATGCCATGTTTATTTCAAAGTGGCGTGTTAAAGCTTTAAATATTTGAATATATTTAAATCAAACCGTCGTAAAATGACATAGAGAAGTAAACGAACATTGTGATACCATTTTCTTTCTTTTTTTTTTCGGTCATTTTCATTACAGTGTGGTACGGAGCACAGGGATTTGGCACGAATGTAAATGAGGAAACGCTACAACGTACGAGACATGATAACACCAAAGGACACGTCTTGTGGACAAGGCTATGGTTTTAGCGATTTCAAGTTATTGAGGTGCCCATCAGATGTGAGCGTATTTAAACCGAGCGTGGAAATGTCTACCTAGCCATCTGTACGTATATCTCCGAATTCGTGAGATCATATTTGGTTTATACTAGGTCAATCTCGTTCATTAAACACTCATTGAAAGATAAAACATTTCTCTTCAATGTAAGTTATGCATGTGCTACTACGGTCCCCAGAATATCATAAAAAGACATCATTGCATATGTAATATTATGGACCGTGGGTCGGGAATTCGTGCAAAATTCCGGTGGTCCAAAGAGGGAACATTTACAAGACTAGAGGTTTAGGGCTTGTATCGCTCACTTGGATATTTCAGTTTTCATTTCAAAACATTTTTATTCACAATCATATTGTTATATTTTCCTCATCAGAGATGAGGAATTTCAAAGCTCCAAAATAATGTCAGGACCAGAGATATACCATTTATACAACTTTGTTCCTCTTCCCAAAGGATGCTTCTGACCAAATTTGGTCAAAACACGCAGTGATGTTACAGACAGAGTTCGGATAGAATCGAGGCACTCCTACAGACGATCCCTGCCCCTTAGGACCCTGGGGGCAAAGACGCGCCATTCATACATCATAGGTTCCTCGTCCCCTAAGGATGCTTCTGTTCAAATGAAGTCAAAATATGCAAAGATGTTTATGACTAATAGCGATTTGTAGAAATAGTAGATGGACGGACATCGGACGCTGCGGGAAAGAGGTTAAACAATGTGTGTGATGGTGGTGGTGGTGAGGGTGTGTGTGTGTGTGTGTGTGTGTGTGTGTGTGTGTGTGTGTGTGTGTGTGTGTGTGTGTGTGTGTGTGTGTGTGTGTGTGTGTGTGTGTGTGTGTGTGTGTGTGTGTGTGTGTGTGTGTGGTGGTAGTGTTGGTGTGTGTGTGTGTGTGTGGTGATGGTGGTGGTGTTGGTGGTGGTGTGTGTATGTGTGGTGATGGTGGTGGTGTGTGTGTGTGTGTGTGTGTGTGTGTGTGGTGATGGTAGTGTATGTGTGAGGGTGTGTGTTTGTGAGTGTATGTGTGAGGGTGTGTGTGCGTGTGTGTGTGATGGTGGTGGTGGTGGTGTGTGTGTGATGGTGGTGGTGGTGGTGTGTGTGTGTGTGGTGATGGTAGTGTGTGTGTGTGAGGGTGTGTGTGTGTGGTGGTGGTGGTGATGGTAGTGTGTGTGTGTGTGTGTGTGTGTGTGTGTGTGTGTGTTAGGAATCAGTTTTTGGTATTACGTGTTTAAACAATATTTTAAGTAAACTGTTTCTGTCTATCAATGCCACATGCTCGGATATTTAATTCTCGCCAGAAGTAGCGGATCCAGATTTTAAGAAAGGAGGAGGTGGGGATACTACAATATACAGAAGCTTACTGAAAATGACAAAAGAACTAGTTCTGAAACCCCTCTACTGAAGCTTTATACAACACGACGTCATATGATATATGCCAGATCACAGAAACAGTATGACAGAAAATATATCGTTATAATGTGGTATTTCAAAAGATTATCCTTAACCACTTATGGAAATCCTTAAGCAAAGTTGTGGTGTGGTGTTTGGATTCGGTTCTGTGCATCCCCTACTCCAGAATATGGTCGTTTCATTTCCTTATTTATAAATTGATAATAAAGTTTTTTCAGAGTATGTGATTATTGGGAAAGTCCCAGTGGCGTACAGGGATTCCCCGTCATATTATTATGAATATCGTTTCACGTAATTGGTTTCGATCGGAAGGACATGAGGACTTGAGTGAAGTGGTCAGACACACGTAGGTCACTTCCTTGTCGTAATCTTTTATGCGTACATAACTGTAATAATCGATGATTGGACAATTGTAAATGGAGCAGTTTAACAATCAAATCCCCAAAAATTCTATAAAAATAGTTACAAGTTACGGAAAGACAAGTTCTGGCGTTGTTCAAGAAGTAATGTCGATTTCGAAAATACTACCTAGCTTTTGAAAAATAAGAATTTTCTAAAATATCTATATTTCTTTAAATAGATGATGTCTTAGAAAACACTCTGCATTGTACTCGTGACTGTTGCATGTGGATTGTGAAATTTATCACTGTTTATTTTCATTAAAACTCCGACATTTTTCTCTAACTTCCTTGTTCCGTCCGAATGAAAAGCCTTATTGTGATATGCGGATAAAATCAAATAAACGACACTATGTCGTACTGTTCAATGAAGTTTTGTAACGACATTCTCTTTAATAGCTTTACATTCACACAACGAAACATCTATTTAAAACACAGCAGACCATGTGTCCCCTGATCAGATAGGGCAGGTTATGCTTTGAATACATAATGCACTATTTTGTGTGTGTGTAAGTGTGAATCTCAAAAAGTTAAAAGGATTTCAACAAGTATGAAATTTGAATTAAATAACGCACCTTTTAAAAAGAAAATAATGTATTCCACAATTAAAAGGACGTTGTGTGGGGCGATGTACGCGGAGGCAAATAATATTAACCTCACCATGCCTGAAAACAGAATATGATATTGAACATTACAAACGTTAATTATAAAAAGCTCGTGATCCAATGTTCTACATGATAAAGACGCAGTTCCGATAATCCAAACTACAGAACAGTGATGTATTCGTGTAGGTTTCATGGAAAAGTTCAATTTAAAGGCTCAATATTCATCATGAATATGATTTATAGGATTTGTCGTCGTCGTTGTTCTCCTCCCCTCGTTACTATTTCTCGTAGATACCATATTCCATGTCGTCATCAATTTGAAAATTTTTGTATCTCATATCTCAAACTCGTATACTCTTTCTATTTACTTTTATTACATGTAAATTATGGTGTTTTTTCCACGAAAATCACCACTGTTTATCAGTAAAAGGAAATTTATAATATCGAAGACCATTTAAGATTAAGTATGCGGAAGGACGCCATGTGATTTAATTACAAGTAATATTAAGGTATCTGGTTATACCCTGAGGAAAGTTGAAGAGAGGTCATCTGTGCGTACCATTGATATTCGTAATGATAGGTAACAAGAGCCTGGAGCTAAAACGGTCAAATTCCTGGAAAATGATAAATTTTAGTCGGTATGACACAAAAATGCACAACTTCTGACACATAAAATAAAACTTTCATATAAATATATATATATATATGAATTACAAGATGTGGAGTACTTTCAAACAGTTGCAGTAACATTGATGTTAATTAGGTTTATTCCCTTGACAAATTTTAAATTAAGCAATTGTAACATTTCTGAAAATCTTACATTACTTATCAATGCGTAATATTAGTGATATCAGCTTTTACAATATTGGATAAATTCTAGCATAAATTATTGAAGAATAGATGTCATATATTTATCTTTTCTCAGGAAAATTATAAGACAAAGCTAGGGAATGGAATAATTTAATGAGCGAGAAAAGGTACATGTATTATTAATCTATTGAAACCATTCAGTTGTATCAAACTTGAACTTTGAAAAAAAAATGAAATTGAAAATACATTTTTAAACATTTGTTTTCGATAAAGTTTTCCTAATTTTAAAACCTTTCCTTTGGAAATTCAACAAAACCAAAAATACATAGGATTCTGCATTGGTTGATGTCCAAATCCGATTACTGGCAATTTTTGTCTTGAAATTTATAAGGATACCACAGTTACTTCCCTTATACAAACGCCATATTTCTATCAAAAATCAAATCTATCGTATAATATTTTAAGATAATATTGAAAAATTTCGAACATGTACAGATTGATTTTCAAAATAAATAGAAGTAAAATCATGCACATGCAGTCTTTTATCTATTTAATCTCCGACACAAATCAGTATATTTTTTTTTCTTAATTGACGTATTCTGTTCTTTCAATGTCGTCGGCTGAAATGCCGAAATAGTGGAGTTAAAATCTTTTATCTAAATAACATTATTAAAAAACCAATATAAAAAAATTAAACATCTAAGAAAACAAAATTACCGGTACACATAATACAAGGGGTCCATAGGGCCTGTATCGCTTACCTGGTTATGTTTGCTGAAATTTATTTATTTTGACTAAAGGAAAAGTATTTAAAACACTTGTACCTATTTCGCCATAATAGGCTCGTCATCCTCCAAAGAAGGTGGTTTGATGCACTAAGTCATTTTCACCAATGATGTCTTCAGTTCCAACAAAAGTACAAAGATAAGATCGATCCCCTTCACCCAAGCACCCCCCAGAATGGTTTTTAAGAATTTCACATATTTGGCCCATTCTCCCACCGCCAAAAATTAATTCCTCTTTACCCAAGCATACTACAGGACAAATTGGGATAACATCCACGTATTCCTTCAGACTCAGCATCAGCATCCTATGTCTTTTACTCATAGAGAATATGTCATTTAAACATTTGAATATATTTGACTTCTGTAACCTTGAAAGTGGGCCAAGGTCATTCATTTCTGCAAACTTGGTAGCCTTTCATCACACCATGCTATAGGTCCAACCTCAGCATTCTGGGCTTATTTGTTACATATTTGACCCCTGTGACTTTGTCTCAGGTGACCTAAAACTTATTTTCCTTAACCCAAATATGCTTCATACTAACTTTGGATATTATTCTGTGAATCTCAAAGAACAAGTTTTTTAAAGAATTGTTAGGTTTTCTCTATTTGGCCGTGCCAAACAGTGAACAAAATTGGTTCCCCTTCCCCAGAGGATGCTTCAGACCCAATTTGATTGAGTACGCTCAGTCGTTCATTACGAGTTGCAATTTATAGAAAAATCTGACAGAGAATGGAGAATGGACCATGGACCATGGACATGGCAGTATCCCTATAGATTTTTGTTTTTGTTTTTTTTTAGATTTCCTCTTAAATCTAATAAATGGCATGTAAGCACCATAGATATATGGTTGTCATGTTTAAATATTGATGTATTGGAAGACGTAAAATTAAATGAAAAGTTTGTCAATTCATAAAGTCTCAAAATTCACTCCTAACAGTGATTTGTATACTTACTGAGCCGTATGTATTCATTTCACCTTCATATGCTACATAACTGCACATACATATTCATTTAAGTCACGAAATAGATTGTAACCCTTTTCTGCACTATGATAACGTATAATCAGTTTAAAAATTGATCCATCCAATATCTAAATTTTCAATAATAATAAATTTTAAAATCAGCCTTGAAAGAAAGAAACTATAATCAACAACAAGGTAATGAAATCCAATTTCTTTTTTATTCTTTCTGAAGATTCAAAACGAGTGCAGATAATTTAGAACAACAATCAGTGAGAGACTCACAAATTATTAGCCTGTGCTATCAGAATACCAAATGGTTACTATTTCACAATACAAGATCATTCAACTCATTGTAAATTAAAGAAATGAAAGAATTTGTAGTGATTAATGAAGATGTTCAACATATATCAAAATCATATCTCCTTTATTTTATTTACAAATGATGTATATTACATGTTGATATGTACAGATGGATGGTATGGCTGTGGGCTGAGAGGTGTGGTGAATCACCAGGCTTAAAAGTACCTGTTTTAACATTGAATACCACAAATAATAATTAATGTGTAAAGTTTTAAATATCTTAAATTGGTAATTGAGAGGGGAACCTTGTTTTTACTTTTGGCTAAACAGGTGGAATGTATGACTGAAATTTGCTTAAATGTGGAAAATAATTCAAACATATTCATCATAATAGTGTAGAATCATATTTTTGTGGGGCTCAATTTTCAAAGTTTTTCAAAAAAATTACTTATTTGTGGACTCTGGATTTTGTGGATAAATAGAGTTAAGTAAATCACTGACAATAAATCCCCAAAATAAATCAATGATTTTATACAAAG